TGGAGTGGCGTTGGGTTTTTCACGGATGAGTAGGAGGCAAGGGGAGAATGAGGATAGAGCTTGCGAGCGAATCTTGCTTTTCGGATCCCGGATGCCCCAGGACGTTCCCCATCTGCAGACAGAGAAGTATTACAAGGCACTTATATCTGGCTCTGCGCTACCCGTCCGCTCCAAGAAATTTCAGTTCCGCGCCGACGGCGATGCGGGCCCTCCCAAGAAGAAAGCCAAGAGGGCCTCAAAGCCAAAGGCCCCGAAAGGCCCGAAAGTAAAGAAACCGAAGGCGCTCGTGGACTCAGGGGCAGCAGAGGAGCCAGCGTCGCCTGCGTCAGCAGAGGCCCCTGTGGAGGAGGCCCCAGGGGAGGTCTCAGAAGAGAGAAGCGACGCGGACAGCGACGGCGGCAGCAGCAGCAAAAGTGCAAGCAGCAGTTCCAGCAGCAGCAGCAGCAGCAGCAGCTCATCATCCCCACATGAGCCTGGTCCACTGGCTCCCGAACCCGCTCCTGCAGAAGACCCCCCAGCTCCGCCCGCGCCCGCTGACCCGCCCGTGCCGCGCGTTCCGCTTGGCCCTGCTTGGGACACGAAGCGTTACAAACACTTCAGGTGGAGCCAGACAGGGCCTCGGGATTCCAGGAACGGCTGGGAGGTCCATTGTTATATTCCTGGGCATGTCGGCGGGATGAAGTGCACCCGCTCTCTTCGGTTCAGCAAGGCAGGCAGCAAGGAGGAGTGCGAGCACTTCTTGCTGTGGTGGTGCGTCAGTGGCTTCGAAGCGGCAGGGAGAGGTGATCACATGAGTCTTGCTAGGGAGATTCCTGCTGACGAACATCGAACTGCCGAAGAGTTGATTGAAGAGTTGGAAGAGTTGGATGCCCTGGATTGGGGGCTCGGGGACTGATGCTGAGGGCAGGGCCCTCGCTGGGTTCCGCGCGGGGTAGGTGCCACGAGCGATATCAAGCGTGCTTGTTGTACTTTGTGAAGCATGACGCGTCTGTCCCTCTTAGCATCTTAAGTACAAGCACCCCGACTCCCGACCGATTTCCTTTGGTCGCGTCATCACTGTTGTCGTCAGGCCGCCCCTCGCCCCGGAACCTTAGAGTTGCGTTGCAGCTTGCATTGCCTTGGGCAGGAACTGAGGGCAGGAGGAGCATGAGCAGCAGGAGAAGCAGGAGAAAGGGGCAGGGAACAACATGATCAGGAGGAGGGACAGGAGGACGGATAAGGATATGATGTGTGATGTCGAGAGTCGAGAGAGGAGCATCATCCTTAGCGAGCGTCGACCCCGACGGCGGCAACGTTGAATGAGAGAACTTGGGACTTGGGGGCAAGGGAGGTTCGTGCCAGCGCCCTGCCCCTGGCGGCGCCGCGGCGATCCTGCGGCAGCCTGCAGCGCGCCTGGCGAGCGGCGTGGCAGCAGCTCCACCAGGCAAGCCACCGCCGCCTCGCTTGTTATGCGGTATTCTGTGCTAGTCTACTCGTCGTCTAAATCGTTCTCTTTCCGATGCTGCTCATCCCAAACTGCTAACTGCCTTCGTGGGGGCTTTGAGGCGGTTGGGCCTTCCGGAGACCTTCGGGGGCAAAAGGGGGCGCGAGAACTTCCAGACGGCACTTGTGTCAGTCAGGCGCTGGCGACGCTCGGATCGATCAAAACAGCTTTCAAAATCAACGTTCGCGAGAGAGTTCCTTGGAAACGTAAGCTTATGTTCCGATCCAGGGCAAACGCTGAGATACATCATCGTTTCAGCAAGTTTCGTTCATTTTTGGGCCTGGGCATCCAGAAAGTCCAGAGGGCAACATTTCACTTCGTTTTGGGGTTGTCTGACGTATGTTTGGTATGTGCTGCTAGCTCCGTGCTCTTTTCGTGTGATATTGGCGCTTGAACGACCGACTTGAATCATTTGTCTCCCGATCAGCACGAAATGGCCCGAATGACGTCGCAAAGCTCCATTCAGCACCGATTGATGTTGTTTTCATTGAATTGATTCCCATGTGCTACGATTTGCTGCCGAAATGGTAATTTCGATTCGATTTGATCAGTTTCCGAGGCAATTCTTTCCGATTTCATTGTTTTCAAATGTTTTTGTCATTTTCGATGATTTTGAAACGTTTTCAATCGAAACGGGCAAAAACGATTGCGAACGTGGATCTGGGCGATATCAGGCTGTCTCCCCGCACCTCCCCGCACCTCCCCGCACCTCTCCCCGCACCTCCCCGCACCTCTCCCCGCACCTCCCCGCACCTCCCCGCACCTCTCCCCGCACCCCTGTCCTATGCCAGCGCCGACAAACAGCAAAAACGTTCAAACTTGGTTTGAAAGGTTGAAAATCATTCGAAATCATTTGAAAGTATCCAAAACGAAGCGAAACCGACCGAATCGACCAGAAACCATAGTGAGAGCATGAATCAGAGCAGAATTTGTGGTTTCGACTTGATTTTGTTTGAAATCATGCGAATTGGAACGAAAACGTTGAAACGCAGCCGTTCAGAGGCAAACGGTGCAAGAAACAACCGAAAGGGTTGGAAATCAGCCATTTTGGTTTGAAAGTACTGAAACGCACAAACATCAATTGGATTTGGCTGGAACGTGCGAATTGAATCTGGAATGTTCTGTTTGTATGCGTTTCGGCCCAAAGGCTTCACAACGTTACGACATTTCACAGTATTTGGCGAAAATGCGCTTGCAGGGCTCGAAGGTGAGCGAAAGTCACAGTTTCTATTGAAATCCAACGAATTGAGGCTGACCACCAGCAGGCCCGGAGACTTCCGAACACATGGTTTGGGGCCTTTGCGAATCGAAGGAAATGGTGTCACAGCGGCGGGACTGTCACAGTTGGAGTTTCGAGCGTTTCGGACGTTTGCGTCTCTCCGGAGCCAGGGGCGGGGGGCATTGACCTTTGCACTCAGAGGAAACTCAGGGCCTCTGAGGGCTGAGGGCTGAGGGAACTTAGGGCTCAGGCTGAGGGGCTGAGATGTGTTTGCCCTGAGAGGGTACTTGGGGCTGAGGGCTGGGGTTCAGAACCTTGGATGCCATCGAAACCTGAGCCTGGGTGAGCTTTCATCCTCTGAAAGATATGTCTGGGCTTCGAAACCTGAGCCTATATGAGCTTCAGCATTCACAAGTCCTGAAAGATATATATGTACCTCCCCTGTAAGTGCAATAGGCATAGAAGTGCGAAAGTAAACATGCAATAGGTGACAACATATTGAATATGATAGTGCACATATGCATGTGAGCATGTCTGCAATTATAACTGGACTGGTGATAGCGTGTGCACTTGTGAATGCTATGTGTGGGTAGGTCTGCGTAAATGTGCATACGTTCGGCACAGTGCAGTCGTGGGTTGCGTTGTCGGCGAAGTCCTCTGGCCATAACTTGCTCGAGCTTTGTGCTTTTGCAGCTGTAGCGAGCTGCGAGCCTGACCAGTCGGGCAACCTTCGGCCCGACTCGGCCCTGCCCCCTGCTTCCTGCTTCTCGGCTTCTCGGTCGTGTTGTGCCGAAAGGGATGGCGCCGAAACCGAAGTTCGCTTTCAAGAGGCGAGTCAAGCCGCTGGTGAGGGTTGGCAACGCGGTCAAGAAACCAGCAGCGGCGGCGTCGGCGCCTGCGCCTTGGAAGGGGATCGGATCAACAGCTTGGAAAGCGACAAGGCTCACTGCAGGAGGAGGTGGCCGATCTATCGGACCTGCCAGTTTCGCAGACTTTGGGCGGTGGCCAGAACTGATCATCAACAAGATCTTCCCAGATCCTCAAGTCTTTCCAGGTCAGGCCCTGGCGAATGAGAAGGAGGCAAAAGCTCGGCTGGACCGATTCGTGAACTTGCACGTGCACGGCCACGTCATTCACAGCTACTACAGCGGCATGCTCACGGAAGTTGCGGCGCTGCGAGCAATAGGTGGCGTCCTCGAGCAGCGCGACGTCCTCCCACCTTCAGTTGAATGGCTAGTGGTTTGGAACGGTTGCGACAACTCCATGACGTGCAAAGCGATCGCGCTGCAGTCGCCCAAGCCGCCCCTGCACTACTTCCCATCCCTGCAGTCGCTGATCCCCAGCAAGAGCAGGGCTACTCTCATGCGCATGCGGCCCAATAGGTTGGATCCTCTTCAGACCAGGATCGACGCCTTCAAGAAGATGCGCTGCGTCATTAAGCGCAACCAGAAGAACTGGCTTTCAAGGACTGCCATGGTCCCGTGCATCATGCATCCAGGGTCATGTTGCCCGCTGGCGTGGCAAGACACAGAGGACGTTGGCAGCACTGAGCGTCCACTCACAGCGGTGTTCGGGGGCTTCAACTGCCAGCCGTTCAGCCCTGCAGGGCGCAGGACGCAGGAGGCCCACGACTCGAGCGAACCGTTCGCCATCTTCCAGGCCGTGACGGACGAGCTCGCCACGGATTTCGTCCACTGCGAGAACTCGCACCTCTTCGATGAGCAGAACGCGAAGGACGAGTTCGGCAAGAACAGGTGGATTCGCTATGTGCGGATCTCGCCAGAGGACCGAACGCCCACTTCACTCCTCATTCCTGACCCCTCATTCCATGTCGTGTCGAGCCCTTTTGTTACCTTGCGCCGCCTCCTCATCTCATTTTCCTGTAACGCTTCCTCTTCCTGAATCCTCCCTCAACGCTCACACTTCCTTGATCTTATGTGGTCCCTGCTGCCTGCTGCTACTTCCTCCACATCTGACCTCATCTACCCATCCTCATCGTCGTCCAGTTCACCCCTCACCCCCTGAATTATCCTTTTTCGTCGTCTCTGTTTCCCCCGCCCCACACCCAACCCCCAACTTCCGCTTGATCAACTTCGCCTTCTCTTCTTCGAGACCTTGAGCCTTGTCGTCTTCAACCTCCTCTCCCTAGCCTACATCCCACGCCATCCCAAGCCCTCTCATCACCCCTCGCATCATCCTTGTCTCCGCTGACTCGCCCCTCATTGACCCTCTGTTCCTGCTGCTCGTTCCTCCTCCCTTCCGCTGCCAGGAGATCGGCTGGCCAGAGCATCGGCCCAGGCTGTTCTTCACGGCGGGCCTCCAGAGCAGCGCGGTCTGCATCCTCCCGGAAGACCCGCAGGAGGTCAAGCGGAGCTTCTTGACGCTCTTCGGCGGCGTTCCTATCAAGGACCACTTGGCCAAACCTCCCACGTCCTCTCATCTCCAACCCTTACGACTGCGACGACGATGACGAGCGCGGCAATTACGATGATGACGGCGGCTGATCTCTGCGGGGATGACGGCGAAAACGATGACGACGACAACGCTTGATAGCGATATCTTACTCAACAAAACTACGGCGGGCACGTCGTTTGGTTTGGGCCCTATGGGCCATGCTCGTGTCCTTCGTTCCTTGGGATGCCCTCGGGGTCGTTGCCACTTCGGGTGTTCAACCAACGCCCTCTAGGACGCGTCGTGCCTCATGCGCAGAGATACGGACGCTCGCATGCACGCGGCCAGGGTCAACTTCAAGCAGAACACCAAGTGCGAGGTCGGTGACGACATCTTCGATGGTCTAAGTGGCACGAAGGTGCCTCGCCTGAAGCAGTACATGAAGCTTGTGACGAAGCACCAGGGCGACTGCTCGCAGGTCGTGTGCGCGGACTTGTCGCAAAATCCACAGTCCCGGTGCGTGATGATGCCGTTTTTCCCTTCGGCTGCCACGAACGCCGAGCTGCTTGGGATAGATGGGCCAGCCGACAAGACGTGCCACGTGTTCACGCACTCCGAGCTTTCATTCGCCCGCGGGTGGCCTGCCATCGAGACCAGCGAGTCCGCCGCGCTGAAGGCTACCATGGGCCTTGCATTCGAGCCAGAGGGCATGACCATCAACCAGGCTCGGCGTCTCCACGGCAACGCGATCCATCTGCCGACGATGTCAGCATGGTACTGCTTCATCATGTCGCACACCATCAGGCGCAACATCGTGATGGAGTTCAAGCCAGACGGAGGCGCGAACTGGCGCGTGCTCATTGCTTCCGCTGTGGCTGCTCGCCGTGCTGAAGCTGCCGCTTCCGTCGCTGCTACTTTTGCGGAGGTCTTCGAGGATCTTCCTGGCGACGGCGACGGCCCAGCGGCATCTGGCGGCGCTAGCAGCAGCCGCGATACTCTGGCTTTGGCTGCGCAGGCAGCGGCCGCGCCAAGGACCCCCATCCAGGCCTTCAACTCCCACCACTCGGGGCAGCAGCGGCAGCGGAGCCCTATACAGAGCCCTGAGCGAATGAGCCAGCAGAGCGATGCGAGCATCCTGTCGGAGGCCACCCTGGGGTTTTAGATGCGCATGCGACGGCGCGAGCGACAGTCGGCCGAGCCTCGCATTGCCGCGCAGCCGCGGCATCGGCGCTCATCTCTCCGCGCCGATCTCGCTGCATTTTGCAGCAATCGCAGCGCTCTCGCCGCGCTACCAACGCCCATTCGGGGACGCATGAGAGGGGTGGTGAGGATGAGAAGGAGGCGCACGAGAAGGAGGATTGACAGACTGACCTGGACGGATGAGGAGAGACATGGGAAAACTTGGGAGGAAGGAGAAGGAGGAGAGAAAAGGAGAGGAGAGGGATATAAGGCGTCTCAGAGCAAGCCTGGTGATATGAGATCCCAATCCGAGCCTGCTTGGCCCAACGGCGGCAAGCGAGAGCGAGGCTTTAGACACGTTCGCACTTGCTCGGTGCCCCATTCGTTTCTTGCGCTGGCAGATCACGTGCCTCCGCGCAGGCAGCCTCGATGGCGTGAAAGCTTGCAGGCTGTGAGTAGGCGATTGAAAATGATTGAGGGACAGAGGAGTGATGATAATGCATTGTTGGGTTTTCATTGTTTTATATATATATATATATTTTTTTTTTTTTTGAAGCGGCCGACCCAGGCCCAAGGGGCCCTGCAGCAGACCCCTTCCTGGCAGGTTCTCCCCTGGAGAGTCGTTGGCACTCTGATCGGCAAGAGGCCACACAAACTGGTCACTGCGCCTGCCTCCACTGCACGCTATCTCCCTCTCTCTCTCTCGCTCCCGCCCCTGCCGCCGCTCGAAGGTCCTTGGCAGTGCCTGGCAGCGCTGCCAGCGGAGCCGCGCTTGCAGCGGCGCAGCAGCGCATCCTGGAGGCCCTGCCATTCGGCAATTTTGTAAGTCTTCTTCTTGCTTCCGATTTCAAATCACTTCGTTAGCCTTGCTCCTCCCGGACTCCTCCCTCTACCCCCGTGCCCTGGACAGGCTGTCCAAGCGGAATCTACGAGGGCCGCGCCCAGAAAAATATTATATTTTTCTGGGTGGTCCCTGTTGGAAGTGGTCTTGGAGGCCCTTTAGGCCGTCTTCGGAGCCTCTTGGGCTCGTTTGGGAGCCGTTTCGGGAGCCTCCTGGGCCGTCTTGGAAGCCTATTCGGATCTCCTGGGCCCCTCTTGGGGGGGCGGCAAGGGCAGTTGAAAATCTCCCGACGGTATCTACGAGCGCCGCGCCCAGAAAAATATTATATTTTTCTGGGTGGTCCCTGTTGGAAGTGGTTTGGGTCCGAGGTTCCATGACGTCTAGGACGATGGGGAATTCGGTGCTCAAGCGCAGAATGGTCGGAGATCGCTCTGAATGTTAAACTCCGTTCTCACTCTGGCATTGCCCCTCTGAGCCTCTGCGCCGCTCCCTCGCCCTCTCCTCCTCTCCCCTGGCTGCGCAAGGGCCTCGGCAGTGCCGCCGGCGCCGCCACCGGGCAGCAGCGGCGCGGCGCCGCGCCCATGCAAGCCTGAAGGTGGCGCTGCCACCGCCGCGTCCGTCGCGTCGCTCCCGTCGTGCAACAGCAGCAGCAAAAGCAGCAGCAACAGCAGCAACAACAGCAGCAACATCACCACCATCACTGCTCTCGTTGGCACTGCGATTGGCATCGGCCGCGGGGTAATGCAAAGCCGCCAGCAATAGTATAGCGTCGGCGGAACCAATAGCGGCAGCATCATTCGCATCATGATTGCAATGCTCAGCAATGCCAGCACGACAACCACATGCACGAGCAATGGCGACATACGCTGCACCAGCAAGCCAGCAAGGGCATCAGCGACGCAGCAGCACCACCAGCAACAGCAACATAGCAATAAATAACGCATGCACGCGATTGCAAGGCCAGGGGGCGTAGGAGGAGAATAAGAAGGATCATGAGATCATGAGCAGCAACAGCAGCAGCAGCAGCAGGCAGTCTCATTAGTGACATACTGATACTCACTGGGTTCCTTCGGGTTTGTTTGCTAAGCAGGAGTTGACATTAGCTCCCATTGCCGTTTTCGAATTCATCCCAGGTCTGCTGTTGACATTGTCACGTAGGGTCATCTCTGGGACTTTGGGGCTCTGGCTCTGAGGGTAGGGCTCGCAACCGAAAGAACTTGCGTTGCTAGGCGTGTCGGTTTTGTATTGCGAGCGGAGGTTAACTTTGCCATGGGGTCGATTGCGAGCTTTCTCAGATCTCTGTTTCTCAAGGTCTTGGCCAGTCCTGGTGACGTCTGAGCCTGAGCTGAACCAACCGTTGCTCCGCTACCGTTTTCGGTTTTTGCTCAAACATACAATCAACAGAATATCGGCGCGGCCGCAGAGCCGCGGACACCCCGCGATCTCCGATCTCTGCACTTGGCAAGCTCTCAAGCTCTCAGGGATGGCTGCCAGCAGCGACGACGGCATGTTTTCCTTCGACGTGGTGCCAGCGGCACAGGACGTTCATGAGGTGCAGACGCCATCGAAAGGCATCGACGTGCTGCGCAGCCCTTCATCTGCAGCAGGCTCCCCAGTGACGCCAGAGTTGGCGACCAAACTGAAAGAACAGCTGGAAGGGAACAAGAAGAGAACAAGGCCTTCTGACGCATCTGCTGGCACCGAAGACGACGAGTCTAGCAAGAAATCGGCGGGAAGGACTTGCTCGGTTGACGGGAACCCAGTCAAAGGCAACAAGAGGTACTGCGACATCCACAGCAGGGCCCAGGAGAATGTCCGCAGGAGTGCGCTCAAAGGATGTGATTTCGTCAAGGGCGTTGTCACGCAGCAGTGGGCATGCTATTGCGAAGTCTTCGGTGACAAGAAACAGGCCAAGAAGTACCCTGGCGACCCCAAGGCGGCAGACAAAGTCGTGGCTGAGTACGTCCGTCTATATCCCGATGGTGACACTGGTGGAAAGACGGGCAGGCCGCGGGGGGAATTGGACTTGACCCAGTTCGTCCACACGAAAGGTGTCAGGAAGGAGAAGGCTGAAGTGAGTGACCGCTGCAAGTGGGACCGGGAGTTTTTCATTACGCAAATGAAAAAAAATCGGGATTGGATGTCGTCGAAGGCCGAGGCTAAGTGGGATGAGATCGCCGCTGACCCTGCTAACTTCGCCGACAATGGCGGCCCTGACCCTAAGTGCCCAGAACGGTATTACATCCCATCCAACCTGACAGGAAACGACATGGAGCGCAGTTCCGTGACCGAATACGAGGGGAAAGAGCTACAGCAAACGGGCAAGGCTGTCAAAAACATGAAGGACGACGCCAAGGCTGCTCTAGTGGAGGATACAAAGAAAGGTTTCTCGACATTGGCAGGGGTGTCGGCCGCAGACACAAATGCGCCTGTGCAGAAGTCGGCTCGCGCCAGCGGCGTCACCGTGGAATCTGAGGTCCAGGACATGCTGTTCTCGGCGGCGGGGAAGGCGGCGCCAGCTACTCCGCTGCCGAACCCGCAGGAGGACAGAGATGGAGCGGCTGCTGCTTCGTCTGAGGTTGGGCTTGGCGACGGAGCAGCTCCCAGCGGCAACCAAGGCGGCCAGTCGGGCAGGTCCATCGACGTTCGCGTGCAGCGGAACGCCCTCGGCAGGAAGATCACGTCCAAAGCCTACCCCGGCAAGGAAGCACTCCTCAACAAGCTGGTCGACAAGGTTACTAAGCTTCTTGCAGAGGGCATTGCTTTCAAAGACCTTGCAGAGTACAGGACGATGCTCGAGAGGTTTGACTTGATCAAGGCTTTGTTCGGCGAGCTCAGGATGTCCCAAGATTTGACAGGCGACAAGCCCTTCGCCACCGTGAAAGTCGAGGAGCTTGGGTTCGCGCGTTGCGGGCCTCTCAACGCCGAGTAGGGCCCATGTCCAAGAGGAGACATGCACAAGATACGATTCCAGAACTGGAACAGGTGATCTTGTGATGCACGTCTTCTCATGGCATCGGGCCCTGCCCAGCGTTGGGGCGCGTGGGACGCTTGAGCCAGCATGGAGGATCCTTCTCAGAAGACAGGCGACAACCCCGCCGATAAAGAGCGCATGGACGCGATTGCGGCTGAGGCTCATCTTTCAAAGCTTGCTTCTTCTTCGGACATTCCGATACCGAACCTGAAGGACATCAAGACATTGGCCTTCAAGACTGAGTTGTATTCGCAGTGCCAGAAGCTGCAGTCAGACGCAGCCATCACCGACCTCAACAACACCCTTGAGATGCACATGGGATTGTACCATAATGTGATCTTCTACTGCCAGCAGTCCATGGCCGACTGCAGGAAGGCGCTCAACGTTGCAAAAAAGGAGGCGGACATTGCGAAGAAGGCATCCGAAGAGAAGGCGAAGGAGCAGGAGGAGGAGCGAGCAGCAGCAGAGGCGGCCATGTCAGCGGAGGACCGCTACAACCTGGCATCGCGAGGATCCCTCCCCTACAAGTTCAAGTCCGAGAAGCTCGTAGACATCGCCCTCTTCGATTCTCTGGATGCCGCATCCCAGCACTTTGAGGAGCAGGCTGGCATTCCATCGCCTGCAGTCGTCGAATGCAAGGAGCACTTCGCCGACCTAGCCATGATCACGGGCGTCATGAAGCAATGGGACGCGGCTTTCCAGAAGCAGGCCGCCAAGTCGGGCCAAGCGACGGCGACGGCTAACTTGCCGGAGAAGATGGGGCTCAAGCAATTCCAGGAATTGTTCAAGAAGGTGATTCCGCAGGCCGCGTTGCTGACCGACCCGCCCCCTTCGGTGCAGAGCTTCGTGAATGAAGGACCCTGGGAAGGAGAGAAGAGGAGGAAGGAGGAGGGCAATGAGGGTGAGAACAAAGAGGACCAGGAAGATGAATAAGCAGAAGCTCAAGGAAGGAAGAGGAGGCGGAATGTGAACACGAGGAGGAAGAGGAGGAGGAGGAAGAGGAGGGGGAAGAGAAGGAGGAGGGGGAGGAGGAGGATCGCCGCTGGTAGCCACAATCACCGCTGCCGAGGGGCCGACTCAACCTTTTCCCTGCTGCTGCTGTTGCTGCTTCTCCTCCTCCTCCTCACTCCTGTCGTTTTGCCTCCTCCTCCTGCATCCTCTTGCCTAC